GATGTTGAGCACTTTTTCATGTGTCTGTTGGCCATTTGGATGTCTTCTTTGGACAAATGTCTGTTCATGTCTTCTAGAATGCTGACATTTAAATAGAGGCTTAAAAGATGAGAAAAATCAGCCAAGCAAGAGTGGGGTTACTCACATAGGTGCATAGGCCATGGGATGGAAAGGATTTGGTGAGTAAAGGGATCTAAAAGAAGGCCAGCTGGCTGGGGTGAAGAGAAAGAGGAGATACTGGCCCATGATGAAATCCCAGAGGTAGAAAGGAGCCAGTCCTGCAGACAAAAGAAAAGAGGTTTTATTTGAGGTATTATGTGAAGCCATTAGAGACCTTTTGGGAGGTGAAATTGCATGACTGTATTTACACTTTTCAAAAGATTATTCTGGATGTCATACAGAGGAAGAATTGGAGGGAGAACAAGAGGACACAAAGATGTGAATTAGGAGGGCCCTGAGGTGGTCCATGAGAAAGCTGAAAAGCTTGAAGTAAGCTGTGGACAGGAGATCCAGAGAGAAGGAGACAGCTGGAAGATGTGTTTGAGGTTGGAATTGCCAGTTTATGAAGTGGTGATGAATAGGAGTTGGTGGGTTAAAAAGAAGGAGTTCAGAAGGATGACTCCCATTTATGGCCGAAGGAACCGAGAGGATGATGGTGTTGTTTACTGACAAGGCGTAGACTTGGTAACACTGGGATTGGGGTCCTGGTTGTGTTCTAAAATAAGTATTTAAAGTTCGATAATAATTCTGAGGAGCCTGTTAGACAACCACATGTATAAGCCAAGAAGGCAGTTGTGTGCATCAGCCCAGACTCAGAAGTGAGTCTGGGATGATGCTTGCATTTGGACATTACCATCATGTGGATAGGATTTAAAGTCAGAGGAACAGATAAAATAATCTAACAGAAGAGTAAAGATTGACAGATGAAGATGGCCTAGAACTGTGCTCTGACAATGAGAGATTGCATGCCTGAGAATCTAGGAAGGGAAGAGAAACAGGAGTGTGGTGTCAAAAGTAAGAAAAGACTGCTTCAGAAAGGAAAGAGAGGACAGCCATGCCCCATGCTGCTGAGCAGTCTAGTGTGAGAAGGGCCGAAGAGTGACTGCCGGATTTTGCAATGTGAAGGTTACTGGTGATATGGTCGAAGGCATCAGGACTATGTGTGGGAAGGCATATTGTAATAAGTGTTCATAGTATGTAGATGACTAGCTAAAATTTTAATGGCTGCCTATTAATCTTCACTTGAGATAGTGGAGTATATGCAGCTACGCATATTGCTGACAAGCCAGCTGCCCCTAGCAAACAGGCTTGTGGATGTTTTAATGGCTCATAGGCCCTGGAAAATTGTTGGCTTGCAACTCAGTGGGGCTCACACTGGGAAATTTCACTTTGTCTTCTTTCCTCTGCTTGTGAGTTTGGGTTCAAGTCCACAAGAGGGATTTGGGTGCCAGGGAATATGGATCCTGGCTGAATTTCTATTCAAGAGTGTTGTGCATTTGCTGGTTTGGTGCTGTCTGCTGTAGCCTGGGGAGCTTCCAGGCAGAGTGGAAAGGCTGGGAGGGCCCAGGCTGTGTCTGGTTCAGACTTAAGCTTCTTGACCTCTGCACTGCTCTTTTGGGGTGCATGGGCACTGCTAGAACATGGTTATTTGGTACAATCCCACTTTTTAAAAATTAGAAACCATGGATAGGCTCATTGTTGGATCTTCTCAAGGCCTCACGTGATATAAAGGAGAGTCCTAGAAAGAATGTAGGTTTTGTAGCCAAAGTGAATCCTCTGCCTCAGTTTTCTCTTTATTTATTTATTTTTAAAGATTTCTCATCTTTAAAGTGGGACTAATAATACCTACCTTTCATGGTTATGGCAAAGATTTAAAGTAATGTGTGAAAAGTACTTGAAACAAAGTAAGTACTCGGTAAGTTGTGGCTGTCATTACTATTATTATTTAAAGTAAATGTTCACTAGTTTGGAAATGTTGAATTAATGACCTAAGTTGTGGTTTGTCTGTATGATATTGGTCCATGATATAAAACATTGTCAGATACATAAACCTCTGCAAACTAGTTCTTTTTTGGATAATTAGTTAGCAATAGCTGTAGTAAATCCTTTGTCATCAGTATTCTGTACAGTAGTTTTATTATCAAAATTTATGTAAGCATGACCTTCACTTTTTAGTGGATTAGCACAGTTTTCTTATTCCTATTAAAAAATAATATTTCTGTGAGCTTTAATAAAAGTTCGTTCTCTGATAAGATGGCATGCATAATGCTGTTCAGAACCAAAGGTTAAAACTACCTTATTAGAATTCCATGGGAGTAGGAGGGGAAGAATGTAAGCTGAATACAAAAATAAAGAGTTGTAAAATTTATTTATATTTCTGCTCTGACTTTGGAAGCAGAACCTGGTGGCCTTCCTGACTAGAAAGTTTTGTTTCTTGGTTTCCACTTCTCCTAAGATGGAGAAACTTATTTTTTTTTTAAGCAAAAGTGCAACTCACTAGCTTAAAAACAGTATTATAGGTCCTGTTTTAGGGTGTCTAGATACCATAAGAATTAAAGCAAAGCAAAACAAAACAAAAGAAAACCCAAATGACTGAAGTAATAGATTATAAGAAAGTTCTCCCCAAAACATGGCTAATAAACTGTTTTGTGTAGAGGACTTAGTGATTATGAATACTTGGACCCCTCTAGTTATAAGAATATATGTTGCATGGCCTGGTTATACACTAGGTTAGGAAAAAATATTTGTGATACATTAAAATTTAAGGGAGAAATAACTTCTTTTGACTAGAATGGGATTTGGCTTTCAAGGGGGTAAAGAGGGGAGAAAGTGTTACAGCTTGTTATATGAATTTTCAGAAGCTGCTGTTAATAATTTGAATGAACTCAGTGCTTATTTTCAGATATCCCTGAGTGACTAAGAGGGAGTGATTTTGTCTCCAGAAAATTTTCTGCAGGACTTTACTTTATCCAGTCATTTGGAAATTTATAGCTTATGTTTTCAAGGAACTATATTAATACTAGGTACTGTACTGTAATAGGTAACCGTGCAAGGCTTGATTTTAACCTCTCTCTCTCTCTTTTTCTCTACAGTTTGGAAGGACTGAAGTGATTGATAATACTTTAAATCCTGATTTTGTACGAAAATTTATCCTGGACTACTTTTTTGAAGAAAGGGAGAACCTTCGTTTTGACTTGTGAGTTCTGGTATAACTTGCATTGTTAAAAAATTGACTTTTAAAGGCAAATTTTGTAACATATAGCTGGGTGTGGTTGCACAAATACTAGATTATATTGGCAGGAAACCAGATTAATTCTATTTAGAGTGTGGCCTGAGCACTATTCCTAGCACCACTTTGTATTTTATAGGTTTTTGGCTCTATGTTTATTGAAAAAATTAGTAAGCAATTTAACTATGCCAAAATGCTGGGTGGTATATATGGACATCCTTTCAAACCATCTTCGGCTTCAGTGGTTTCTTTACAAGTTCCGCATATGCTCCAAGGTGATCTCATTTACTCCATGGCTGGTATCCCTCAGACCTTGAAGTTTCTTTCAGCTGCTTCTTTGTATACTATATGGATCTCTGCCTAACTATTGCTTCCTTTTTTTTTTTATTATGTTAATCACCAGTATTGCTTCCTTTTATCTCTTCGTGGCCTCATATTTCCAAGACCCAGGATGCTGGAACCAGAATTTTTGATATTTTTAATACTCTTGTGATTTTGATGCTGAATTAGGCATATCAAAATATTATCATTAAATTCAACTTCTTGTCTGCAGAGAATCTGGAGTCAGTTTGTTTGTAAGATATTATTCATTACTGAGTTTTTGTTTCACAGATATAAACTCTGATGGTTGTTGAAGTATTTGGATATTGTTCAAAGGAAATCTATTGAGAGGGAAAAGTATAACATATAGTATGTACTTAGATTAAAAGAGAGTTTATGAACTTTGCAAGTCTTTAAAAATAGAAATGTCTTTAAATAGCTGGAAACAATAAAATGTACCAGGCTGTCACAATTTATAAATATTTTTTGATAAAAGCTATCAATATCTTATTTGAAAAAGTCCTAGATTGCTTCCTAATGTAAAAAGAAAGTTATTTACCATGAACAGCCTTTCTCGTTTTCTTCTAAAATGTGTACAGTAAAATACCCTTCTGTTTGAAAAAGGAGACTCTTATACCAGGCCCTTTCCTTCAAGAGTTATAGCAGTTCTAAGTATTCATTATATTTATCAAGCAAAATTTATTATGACCCATTTGCTTTTTATGTCCTTGAAACCCCTTTTCAAATAATAAAAATGATACTTCTGAGAAAAAATCCTAAAGTGGAATATAATGATTTCCTGACCATGTTTATCATGGAGATCGCACATTGTGTTGTTATTTAAAAGCCACATATAAATCATGTTGAATATGGTTCTCCCATTGTTCAGGCCTTCATAGCAGCCGTTTTTAAGAATTCTTCTCTCTCACACCAGCATGATACCTGCTTAATTTTTTCCCTCTGCTTTTAGACTCAACTTTATCCTAAAACCGGCCATTTGTATTGTTTGTTCATTTGCATTGTTTTCTCTCATTTAAAAGTAGTAAATATTTATTAATAAACTTTAAATAATATAGGCATTTAAAAGTGAAAATTCCCTGTTAGTTCAATACCAAAAAAAAACCTCAACCCACAAACAACCAAAAATGTAAATGACTTGATGTATATACTTGCAGATCTTTTTTTTTTTTAAAGATACACAAACATATGGGAGTCTCAATATTTAGAAAATCACAAATATTTTCCTATTACTTGAATTTTTCAGATATCTTTTTATGCCACTATATTATATAGATGTTTCATTTATTTTAATGCTGCATAATTTTCATTGCTTGAGAAAACACAATTTATGTAGCCAGACATCTACTGATGGACATTTTGGATTGTTCTACTTTTACTATTACCTGTAATACTACAGGAAATATCCTGGTATGTAAATTTCTTACAATTTTTTAAATTTTCAGAGTATAAATAATTCAGAGTCAAATTTTAGGATGAAAAGATGTGGACAAGAGTACTCATTCCTGATTCTAATCTTTGAGACCAACTTAGAGATCCCATACGCTTTTTAAGTTTTAATTCCTGTTAGTTAACATACAGTGTTATATTAGTTTCAGGTGTACAGTATAGTAATTCAATACTTCCATTCATCACCCTGTGCTCATTACAACTAGTGCACTCCTTAAACCCCATTATCTATTTAACCCATCCTCCCACGCACCTCCCCTCTGGTAACCATCAGTTGTTCTCTATAATTAAGAGTCTGTTTTTTGATTTGTCTCCCTCTCTCTCTTATTTTTTTCCCTTAGCTCGTTGTATTGTTTCTTAAATCCCACATATAAGTGAAATCATATGGTATTTGTCTTTCTCTGACTGGCTTATTTCACTTAGCATTATACTCTCTAGCTCCATCCATGTTATTGCAAATGGCAAGATTTCATTCTTTTTTATGGCTGAATAATATAACATTATATATATATATATATTATACACACAAATAATATATATATATCTTCTTTATCCATTCATCAGTCTATGGACACTTCGGTGCTTCCATAATTTAGCTATTGTAAATAATGCTGTATGTGTAAACACAGGGGTGCATGTATCCCTTTGAATCAGTGTTCTTGTATTCTTGGGTAAATACCCAGTAGTGGGATTGCTAGATCATAAGGTAGTTCTATTTTTAACTTTTTGAGGAACCTCCATACTGTTTTCTCCAGTGGCTGCACCAGTTTGCATTCCCACCAACAATGCATGAGTGTTCCATTTTCTTCACAACCTTGTCAACACTTGTTGCTTCTTGTATTATTGATTTTAGTCATGCTGACAGAACTGAGGTGATACCTCATTGTAGTTTTGATTTACATTTCCCTGATGGTAAGTGATAACAAACAACATCTTTTCATGTGTCTGTTGGCCATCAGGATGTCTTCTTTGGATAAATATCGCTTCATGTCTTGTGCCCATTTTTAATTGGATCACTGGGGGGCGGGTGTTGAGTTTTATAAGTTCTTTACTTACTTTGCATATTAACTCTTTATTGGATATGTCATTTGCAAATACGTTCTCCTATTTAATAGGTTGCCTTTTAGTTTCGTTGATTGTTTCCTTTACTGTGCAGAAGCTTTTTATTTTGATATAGTCCCAATAGTTTATTTTTGCTTTTGTTTCCCTTGCCTCAGGAGACGTATCTAGAAAGAAGTTGCTATGTCAAAGTCCGATGTCAGAAGTTACTGCCTATGTTCTCTTCTAGTTCTTTAGGGTTTCAGGTCTCACACTTAGGTCTTTAATTCATTTTGAATTTATTTTTGTGTATGGTGTAAGAAAGCCATCCAGTTTCATTATTTTGCATGTGGCTGTCCAGTTTTCCCAACCATTTGTTGAAGAGACTGACTTTTTTCCATTGCATATTCTTTCCTGCTTTGTCAAAGATTAATTGGCCATATAATTATGGGTTTATTTCTGGGTTTTCTATTCTGTTACATTGATTTATGTGTCTGTTTTTGTGCCAGTTCCATACTGTTTTGATTACTACAGCTTTGTAATATAACTTGAAGTCCAGAATTGTGATGCCTCCAGCTTTACTTTTCCTTTTTAAGATTGCTTTGGCTCTTTGGGGTCTTTTGTGGTTCCATAAAAATTTTAGGATTCTTTGTTCTAATTTGTGAAAAGTGCTGTATTCTAATAAGGATTGCATTAAATATGTAGATTGCTTTGGGTACTATAGACATTTTAACAATATTTGCTCTTCCAGTCCATGAGCATGGAATATCTTTGTATTTCTTTGTGTCATCTTCAATTTCTTTCATCACTGTTTTACAGTTTTCAGAGTACAGGTCTTTCACCTCTTTGGTTAGGTTTATTCGTAGGTATCTTATTATTCTGGGTGCAATTATAAATGGGATTGTTTTCCTAATTTCTTTTTTTGGCTGCTTCATTATTGATGTGTAGAAATGCAAGATTTCTGCACATTGATTTTGTATCCTGTGACTTTACTGAATTCGTTTATCAGTTCTAGCAGTTTTTTGGTGGAGCCTTTTGGGTTTTCTATATATAGTATCTTGTCATCTGCAAAGAGTGAAAGTTTTACTTCTTCCTTACCAATCTGGATGCTTTATATCTTCTTTTTCTCTGATTGTTGTGGCTAGGGCTTCCAGTGCTATGCTGAATAATAGTGGTAAGAGTGGACATCCTTGTGTTGTTCCTGACCTTAGGGGAAAAGCTCTCAGTTTTTCCCCATTAAGGATGATGTTAGCTGTGGGTTTTTTCATATATGGCCTTTACCATGTTGAGGTATATTCTCTTCAAATCTACTTTGTTGAAGGTTTTTATCATGAATGGGTGTTGTACTTCGTCAAATGCTTTTTCTGTGTCTATTGAAATGATTATGTGGTTCTTATCCTTTCTTTTATTGATGTGATGTTTCACATTGATGGATTTGTGAATATCAAACCACCCTTGCAACCCAGGAATAAATCCCAATTGATCAGGGTGAATGATTTTTTTAATGTATTGTTGAATTCAGTTTGCTAGTATTTTGTTGAGAATTTTTGTATCTATGTTCATCAGGAATTTTTGGCCTGTAGTTCTCTTTTCTGATGTGGTGTTTATCTGGTTTTGATATCAGGGTAATGTTGGCCTCATAGACTGAATTTGGAGGTTTTCCTTCCCCTTCTATTTTTTGGAATAGTTTAAGAAGTATAGGTATTCATTCTTCTTTAAAGTTTGGTAGAATTTGCCTGTAAAGCCAAGGTCCTATAGGCATTGTTCTCTGAACTTGTTGCCCGTGTTTTAGCTCTGATTTTCAGAATCATTTCTATTTTATTTTGGTTGCTGTCTGCCCAAAGGCCCCTGTCACCATCACAAGCAGCTGCTACCAGGTGACTATATCACCACTATCCCTACTTGGCCCTAGTTTCTTAAGCCTATGTCCTACTCATCCTTTATCATCTATGTCATAACTGTGGCTATTACAGAATTTCACAAGTGGAATGGAAAGAAGGGTGCTTTCAAAAGGAGGACAACAATCAAATGTTTGTTAGTCAGTAGATCAAGGAGCAAAAATTAAGAGCTGGGCTAATCATTTTGGAGAGGAAAAGAAGGTAAAGAATGATTTACCTGTACACAGAGGCTAGTGATCACAT